CGCAACCATTTGACCATAAACATTGAACTAAATTCAAAATCAATTTAGCGGAATAATAAAAGCTAGCCTGGGTCGTTATGTTTTGGCCCTGATACTGGTGTGCGGCGAGTGGGACTGGGATTAAAGGAAGGCACACTGAGTGGACCACCACTTTGCTGTTGTTGTTGTTGTTTGATGGGGCCTAACATGTTCCTGTTATGCTGCAATTATGTCAGCAATTGCTATGTGGCAGCCAGTTGATTTGCTATTGAACGTGCCAGTGAATGAGACTTTCAAGAGTAACAAGAGAGTACTTCGAGTGTTTTATATAAGTGAATAAAATTAAAGTTATATTCGAATATAAGAAATTTTGTCCCAACTTTGCGCGGATTTACTGACTACAACAATTATTTGTTAATTTACAGACTAAGCACTAATTTGTGATCTATTTAAGATTTAACTATACATCGTTTAATATAATTATAAGGGAATAGGAATAGGACTTACACCAGCTGACTACTCTATCATTCCTGTCAGGAACAGTCTTGAGGCGTATTTTATTGTTTGAAAATATTACATTGTAGCGAAAGCTCTTATTTCTAATAAATATAGATGCCCAAGCATTTACGACAAATTGCCATAAATAAGTACGTACACATCTATGTCTTGGACGTGTGTGCGAGTGTGTGTATTCTGCCTACTGGCCACATCTTAGTTTATTGGCCATGGCCAAAACGCACTCAAGCTGCCAAGCAGCGACAACTGCAGCCGACTCCTGGCTTATTTATGCCTTTAGCCAACCTCGGCAGCAGCACAAAAAATTATAGCAACAACAACAAGCAACATACAAACTTAGAAGCTGCAAAAAATGAAACTATTGTAGCCAAAAAGTCAAGTGAATTTCCTTTTCTGGCCAAACACACAATAAAAAAGCGACACACACACACACACACACACACGGAACCACAAACAGATTCACAGACAGTCAGAACACGCAGCCGAATGAAACCGAACAGGATGAACGAGTTGCTCGCAGTGCCATGAAATGTACTTTGTTATGAATTTCTGTTACATCCCTTTTCGTTTTTGGGTTGCTTCTTTGCCTCCATTTACTTCCTTTCTGCAATGGCAGTTGCGGCAACAACGAAGATTAGACGAAGGACGCAAACACATCCGTAAACAATTTGTTCATGCCCCTTTATTTTCCTTTTTTCTAGCTACTCTGTTATATCTTCTTTGTGTTTATTTCAATGCGATGCCTTCTGATAAGCAAAATAAAGAAATACACAGAGAAATTGAAAAAGCTGCCACCCAGAGAAATAAAAATGTAGCAAAAAACAGAGGAGAAGTATACAAATAGAAAATAAAACAAACGAAGCCGAAACGCTAATACAACAAAAGCTATTCATTGGTTAAATGGGCTGTACAGAGTGACAATTGGCTTTTAAGATTTAAATATGCTTTACAATTAAAATAAAGCAAAGGCAGAGCGAGAGACAATTGAACAATTGCGCAGAGAAGTCGTAAAAGGCAGCTTCAGTTTTTGCAGGCTTTAGTATTATTATGTCAATTTCGATGTAAAACCAATATAAACCATTTTGATCATTGTAAATCTGAGAGATTGCAACTTGGGTTAGCGAAGAAGAAACAACAAATCGCTGCCGCACAAGCAGCTGTTGCTTGGCATTACGATTGCCTTGTGACAGAGACGGATTGCAAGCGAAGGGGTCATACGAAATCAGTTTGTTGTTACTTTATTTTTTGTACCGCTATCGCCGGCGGCGTGTTGCCTTTCTGCCCCGTATGCTTGTGTTTGGAGTCCTGTTTATATGTGTGTTTATACGTCGCTTATGTACATTTGGCAAAGTCAACGTAATTTTTTCATTCCTTTTCATTCGCTTATTTGCCATTTTATTTCCATATGCGCAAGGCAAATATGTAAACAATTGAAGTTTACTTTCAAACTTGGGGAGTATGTTGTACGTGTGTGTGGAGGTCTTGATACAATGTTGTTGGTCCTTTTTTTGTCAGCCAAACGTGTAGTGGGCGTGGCGGGGCACATCCTTGATAGGGCGCACGGCAACAACTTCACTGGCTCAGTGACATGTGCGAAATGTTTGCCGTGTTACGTATCAAGTTTTGACATACAAAGGCGCTTGGCAAATTGACAGCGAAGCCAAGTTGACAGGATTTGCGCGAGAAAGGCTTTCGCGGAAATATCGACTTAGACGTGCTGGGGCGTCGGTAGGTGTCGGTATGGAATTCGGCGCAGGATAATCGACAGCCTGTCATTTTGTTTACACTAAATTTCAATTAAATTTTGAGTCCTTGTTCACATTGACGACAGCGGTGCTATTGGACGCAAATGCAAATAGTATTCAACGCCAAAAAACCAAAACGCGACAGCTACAATAACAACACAAACTAAAAGAATTCAGGAAACAAAAACAATTGCAAGTGCTGTCGCCAAACAAATCTCAACAAACTTTACAAAACAATTTTATGCGAGAAAATGAAGCCACTTTTGCCAGCACAACAACAGCAGCAACAAGAACAAACGTTGTCCGGGCTACTGCTGAAGAGGGCCACTGATCGGCAGAGGCTGAGGAGGCATGGCTTGTGCGGATTTGCTGACTGGATTTAAAATGGAAATTATTTGAGAAATCCAATTCACTTTATTACTTTGGGGCATACGCAAAGTAAAACAAAAGCAGCAACACCAACAACAGCAATAATAGCGGCAACTTCAAGAACAGCCGCGGCAACAACAACGCGACCCAAAGACCATAAAAATTAATGCAATAAAAACACATGGCAAGCGGCAACAGAGAAAACACCCCACTCAAGAAAAGCTAGCGTCAAAATGAGCGAAGTATAAAAGGAAAAAAAGACCAAGCGAGCTAAAGTTAAAATCTTCACAACTAACAGCTAAGCACGACACGAAAAGAAAAACGTAGAACAGCTATGGAAGTAGACTACGTTTTTCTTTATTGTTCATATGTATTTTTGATCAGCCAAGTGTACGCCAAGGGCACGTGGGCTCTCCATTATGCATAAAATAGGTTTCTAACCTTCATAATGTGTCACTGCTTGTCATGCAGACGACGGTTTCCAGGTGCCCTAATTCCTAACTCAGTCAACCCAAGCCAAGTCCACTAATCGTTGTGACGGACTAAGCATTTTCTATACTATTCATAATCAGACTCATATGGGGAGTATTGGGTCGCTTTTGCTTGCTAAAAGAGCCGCGTGTTTTTGAATATATCTACCAAATAACTGTTTGACTCCGGCTCATTGTATGCTTCACAGCTGTAATCCCTAATGAGCCCTCTAATATACATTGATACCAGTTGTCCGTTAATATTTGTATACTCAGTTGCATATCCATATATCAAGTAACATTCGATAGATGAGTTGTGTTAATGGTCGTCAGGAATGCCTGACACGTTGTCTTAATGGAGGGTCAGTGTTTCTTACTATTTTGTATTTATTGTACATAAAAAACTATTGGGAAATCGTTAATAATAGTTAGCTTATTTCTTTCATGCTTCAATATAAAACAATATATGTATGATGGGAAATGGAAATTTTGGATACAGTGTTTTCCTGAACTGTTCAACATGAGTCAGCTCTTTGCAGGGTGCAGGGTATTTCCTAGTCACATTTGTACTCACATTTGTTTGGCTTTCATTTCATTTAATAGCTTTTTTACTACATAATAATATCAATATTTAAATATTTATTAAGTAATGTTTTTGTTAATCGGAATATATCACGCCCATTATTTTTTTTTTCACTTTTATAAATTAAAATGATATGTTTATAAAAAAAAAACAATGTTAAATTAAATTTTTTGATTTGAAAATTAAAATCATTGAACGGTTATTGAAAGAAAAATGTTAATCAGTAATTTGCATAGATAAAACATGATAATTCATTAAATTGCAGACAAAATAAAGCATAAAGGTTTTAATACTTGGTCAAATTTCATAACTCAATTATCAAAGGACACAAATACAATTAAAAATATAAAATCAAATTACACAAACAAATTCACTAAGTCCCGAAAATGTTTAACTTAATTTTTGATGAAGGCAGAAAGATTCAATAATGTATATAATAAATGGTAATACTTTAGTTCTTATATACGCGTGGGTTAACTGATCTGTGGCGAACAGCAGTGGCTTTTGTGAAGGGAGACTCGAGCGTTACAATGTTTTGTTTAGCTTGTGCAGGAGGTGCAGGACGGCTGGTGCTGGCCTGGTTTTAACATCTTGGGGCTGGGCTGTATTTGACAGCAATTAAAAGGAGCAGAGGGTCATAAATATTGTGCCTTAGCTGCCTTTTGTTGGCACTCCTGCGGATATTGCTGCCCGTTGTTTATTCTGTCGGCATGCTTGATTGAGCTTGAAGCTGCGCCTCATAAAATCAGCGCCCGAGTCGAGCACATAATTATACTTTTCAATTATGCATAATTATGTGCAGAGAGCAATTTGTGTTTTGTCGCTTAAAGTTGAAAGTTTAAAGTGCAGCAGCAATCGGCCGTCCCCTGCACAGGACTCGCCCGCTATTCGTTCCCGTTATGCGATATCCCCTGGGCGGGCTAAGGCGAAGCGACCGCATTTTTTGTTTGCCTTCCGCTGCCCCTGCTGTGGTTGGCATTGGCCATGTCGTTGGCAAGGACAAAAACAACGACAACGACAACGACAACGGCAGCGACAACGACAACGACAACGACACCGAGCCCGAGAATGGGAACGCAGCGCAGTGCAGCGCAGCAGGCAGACATAAATCAGGATTTTCGCAGCCTGGGCCACAAATGTTTTTTAAAGGATTCGCCGTGGGTGCTGCCATTGCGGCCGCAACCACAATAATAACTTGGTGGGGTCGCTTGGGTTCGTTGTCGCCGGCAATCGCCGATAATCTTATGCATGCTTAAACAGGATTCGATATGCAAGTGTGCGTGTGTGTTACTGGGACTATGGCGACGTTCAAGTGTTATGCCCCGACTTACGACTTACCCATCATGCAGCAGAGCACCGTCGTAAGGGTCAACATTTTGATTGGTAGGGGCGTCCAGTTCCGTGTGCTTCACGCTGTTCTTCGTTTTCCCTCTCTCTCTCTGTCTATCGCTGGATTACTCCTGGAGTGTCCTGTTTGCTGGTTCTTTATCACTTGCCCCGATACTCTCGCTTTCTCCACAAGTTTTGCTTAATTTCCGCTATCGACTTACAATTTGGTAGCTGAAAGTGTTTTTGTATTTGCACTATTATAGTTGCATTACGCTTTTTTGCATTCTCACTGTAAATGATACTATTATTTGGATGCAGCTGCACACACAGAACAACAACAGCAACAACAACAATTACTGCTCTTCTCGTGCTACAGTCGCCTCTCATGAATTAAACACTCGCAATGACATTTAAAACACTTAATTCCAACGGCAGACAATTTAATCTTTTAACGTTTGTTTGTTTTCAACCTTTTCCCGTTCGTTCTTGCTTGTTGTTGTTTGTTGCTGTTGTGTGTTGTTGTTTGCGTTGCTGCCTAGGCCAAATATCATTATTTGTTTTTCCATTTTCTTCTTAGTCTTTTATTTATGCCATTTTGTTGTTGCCTTGCTTTTTGCCATTCGTTTTCACCGTTTTTTGTCGCCTCTGCCAAAGTAAATTGATTTTGTCAGCTCTCTGAACTTAAATTGATTAAATTTATCATTGTTTTTATAATGCCGTTAGCATGGGCGCATTTACGCATTTTCACCTAATAAAATCTACTGATTGAAAACTTCAAAATAAAAGGTATTGCTTAGCGTGTGTGTGTCTTTGTCTGTATTGATTATTTTCATCATTCACTATAATATTTTTCGACTTTTAAAAATAGACTCAAAGGCGTTGCAAGATATTTTTAATGTTGAACTTTAAATAGAATGAACTTATTACGTATACATGTTAATTTTATACTTAGCCTATTGTAAACATAAGTTTCTTATAACTGCCCCAGCCAGATCTAGAGTCTATGCATTTCCTTAAGCCCGATTCTTTTAAAATAAAAAATCAATTAAGTCTTTGCACGCGTTCAAAGGAAACGTGTATAATTAACAGAACTTTTAGTCATGGTGCATATTTTATGAATCGAACTGACACGCATGTCAGCTGAGCCCATCCGAAAATAAATCTGTTCTCGAATAAAGTAATCAAATGTCCTAAACGCAAAGAAAACATATAAGATAAACACAGAGTTATTTACATACATATTTGTATGTATTTTATTGCATATGGGCGTCTGGGATCTTATTGGAAGGGGAAATAGATTGGCCTGGGGGCTCGTCACGTCGCAAAATGGAAACCCGCCAACTGTCGACTCGGCCTGTGGGCAACCTTTGGTTACCCTTGGCAATTCCACCATAAGCAGTTCCCATGTATTAGAATTTATTCACATGATGTCGTCTGGATATCAATCAATTTGACCTGCGGCAGGTTGAACTTTTCGACCAAGCTTCAGCCTCAGTTCTCCTGGGTACATTTTTAGCTTGTGATTTACTTATAATTTGTTGATGCCATTGTTGGCATTCATTTAGGGACTTGAAGGGTGGAGTGCAAAATTAATTAAAAGCTAATTAGTTGCAAATTTGCAGCAGTACCTTCAACTAATTACGGACTACAGCTGGAATGGGCGGTCGCGTTGAGGGCCAACTCAAAGGTACAATGACTGACAGCAGCTGATGCTGCCCTATTCGAGACTTCAATCAGCAGCAGAAGCCTCTTATCCAGTTTAGCCAGGCCCGTGCCCTGTGGGGGCCACTTGTCACTGTTGCTTCCGTAATGGAATTAGAGAGAAGACCAGGCAGCAAGCTGGCTGAAAGGCACAGGACAACGCCGTTGCTCCTGTGCCACTCGAAAGTGTTAACGCACTCAAGTTCTTTGTGTTGTTGATATATATATGTATATATACGTAGCTGTATACCATACAAGTGTCTAGTGTGTGAGTGTATGCGGCTTGGTAATTGTTGCCTAAGGCTGTGAAAGCTGAAGTGAAGTCCACTTGTCGCACTTTCTCTCGCTGTCTCCCTCTCTTCCCCCGCAAATTGTGTTGGTTTGTGTAATTGTGAACGTCTGCAGTTTGTTGCTCAGCTCTTGAGCTTTTCCTATCCCCTTCGGCAACGCTTACCAGTATGCTTAGTATCCGTGATTAGATGATATGCCCTTCACTGCACTCCCCCATGCGTCGGGACATTTCCGCATTGCTACTATTCAGTGTTTCCCCGTGCGATACTGCGGAGCATTGTTCATGAATATTTTATTGATACAGATACACATATGTGTGTTGATTTTACGTTCGTTTCCATTTTGTTTGCCTGTTTAGCTAAATTGAAAACAATTTACTCAGATTTCCCTTGCATTTAGCGTAATGGTTATGGCCCAGCTTGATTGGGCTGCCGGGAGTTCGTTAATACTGCATTTAAAAGTAAATTCATGAAGTAATAATGAAGAGAATCTTCAAGAGTCAGCTATTTTTTATTCAAAACTTTCGAAATGTATTTCAGAATATAACAGGACATTTGAATAATAACTAAATATTTATACGACTATCAAATATTTCAGTTTATGTATATTTTCTGATTGAATTGCAAAATATGCCTCTGGGTTTCAGCTTGTCTGCTGTAGAGCCTTGAAGAGTCTTAAGTATTATTTACTATTGAAAGGATTGTCCCAATTTTTTCCCCGTTTCTGACTTTTGTTTTTCGACAGCTTGAGTCCAGATAAAAAAACAAAATGTAACTTGGCTCTTGGGATTTTCTTTCTTTGTCGCCACTTTTGCTGATGTGTGCTCCTATTTTTAAGAACTCCGCAAAAGTTTTCTCGCTTGTCTTCAACTACTTAGTGCAACAATCAAGAGTAAACTTTTTTGGCAAAAAAAGCATCCCAGCAATAACGATTGTAGCTGTTAGGGGGCTGTCTGCTTGTCCGTGGGACAACATGACGTATGCGTAGCAAATTCGTTTACGCAATGCGCATACGCACTGTGCGCTCGCTGGCGATCTCATTTACCCCGCTAAAAGCCACCACAGCCACGTTGTTTGGCACATTTTTAAGTTAATTTTTTATGTGTTTTCTATTAATTTTTGTCACTCGCCCGCCGCCCGAAGGCTATGAAAATATTGAATTACAAAATATTGCCGCCAGGGAAATTTGTGTACACAATTTGTTTTGACGCGCTTTCCATTTATCGGCAGTGCTAAAGATCAAAGACGATTTAGTACATTGTCGAGCTGCTGGTATTGAGTTTGAGTTCTGTTTTTAGTTTGTTAATTTATTTTGGCGTTGTGGAACTGCTAGCCTAAATATAAAACAACTTAATTTGCTGACTGCTAATGAGACAGAGTGCTGCAGAGGGGCACGAGTGTTCCGGCAGCGGGTAGGGCAGCAAGTCGTTGTGTAGGCGTAAACACATTTTTATTTGTTGTGTGTGCGTTTTGGTGCCTTTATTTTATTAGTTTCGTCTTTTGTCGCCTGCCACTGCTAACAAGTTGCGAACACGAGGCGGGCACCGAAAAAAAATCGCATATAATTCGAAACGATATCATAAAATATTCGCGTGCGTCGCGCGCTTTAGTAAACTGCCCCAAAAGACATAAGCTAACGGCAGTAACAACAATGCCAGCAACATTGCCAACAACAATGGCAACAACAATAACAACAACAATGGAGCTTTCAATTTCGTCTCCTACCACGCCGGCAATGAGCCAATGAGGCTTTTCCTGCGTTTTCACACGTTCAAAATTTACGACACTGGTTTTTTTGAGTCATTCTTAAGATGTTGGTCTCAACTTTGCTTATACACACAAACTCACAGTCACACACAATTTTACACACTGGTGTAGATGCAGATGTCACTTGCGACACGTGTTTCTAAAAACACGATCTATATCAACTGGTTTTTGTTATCGAATTTGAATTTGGATCCGACTTGGGATTCTGATTCGCGCGCGTAACCCGCAGCGCCTATCTCGCATGTGTTCACTGTCGCAGTCGCACACAAACTGAAACAGAAACTTATTTTGGGCCTTGCACTTGCCAGCCAACACCGGACGAGCCTTAGCCTCCTCCATTATCAGGATGAAGCCTCGTGTTGTTGTCGGTTGTTGTTGCTTTCGTCTTCGGGTCTTGTGGGCATCGCCAGCTATGCTGCTGTCGTCGTCGATGTGTGGCAAAAACCGAATGCCAGCCAGTGCTGTCAATTCGCCGCAATCTGTTTCTCTTTAACACAATTCGCTCTTTACTTTCACAAACTCGTGCTCTTTATATATGAAACCGTTAAATTGTTTAAAGTCACTTGACTGTCAATCTAAATCTAAATCTTTATTTAGTATAGGATACAGAGTTCAAAACATAATACAGAGTATAAAAGTTTAGTATGCAAAGTAATTTTTAAAAATAAATAACACTAAAACCATTTTTTTTTCTAAACAAAAGTCAAAGAAAACAAAACCGAATTCAAATGGTAATTTGACTATAATTAATCATGTCGTAAATGTTTCAATATTTTGTATATTACAAATATTTTCCACATATAACATAAAATATCATTTAACGAAAGATATTAAATTTTTTGCAACACATATTAGATTATTTTGTATTTCCATTAGAAAATATACTTAGAAAAGCATGCTTGTTATTATTTTACAGTGTTTTTCTTAATTTTTTTCAGTCTTATTTTGAAATGAATTTTTTAGTTTTGTTAGTTATTCTCCACTTAGCAGCAGCATAAACAATCGCATTGACATTAATTGAGTGGCGGACTCAGACAACAGCATCCGCACTAAGAAAACTTTAGGTCAGTGCTAAGAAGACATGAAGAGAACTTAGACTGCAGAGCGCATGAGCATAACGTGCTCTCAGTGCGCCTCTCTTTCACGGCGAATTCAAAGAATTTTAATAAAATTTACGTCGCGACTTTACATAAAAAGAGCTAATGACAATATAAATTCACATGGTATTCGGAAAGCTGCTGCAGATGGGCAATAAGCGCTGTGGTTGACGATGCTCCTACTGTTAACTCTGTAGCTATAGCTCTGCCTCTGCATGAGAATATACATATATACACTTACTATCGGTTATATCTCTTGGGATAGCTGAGAGCTGGGCAAATACAGCGGCCGTGTTGTAGCTGTGGCGAAAATCAGTAATTAGCGTAAATTGAGTTGGTAAAAAGCGCAAGAGCTTAAATTCCGACCCGATTTACAGCCTGCTGACACCCAACTTACCAACTTACTGTGTCCCGCAGCAGTCAGTTGCGGCTGTCACTGTGCCTTTGCTCATTCGCAGTGTCTTTTCAGCTGCTGTTGTTGTTGTTGATGTTGATTATGTGGCAATTAGTTGTCGCATTTGTGGCGAGCCACGAGAACACAGCCGATCAGAGAATTTGGCCCTGACAGCAGGTAAAGCTCATTCAAAGCTTAGCGAGCTAATAAAACAAGTTGATTAATTTCAATGCTCCTTGACCTTGACTGTGCCAGGTCGCAAGCCACCTAGCTGTCAAGCGACAGTCTTTGCCAACTTTAGCATAGCTATAATAATGTTCCCCTAACTTTTATCCACGTATTATCGTGTGCGTCTATACCTATATAATGAACAGCGTGCCACATGCTTAAGGTATTAAACTTTGCAAAATACCACCAACTAAATAGTTTAGATTTAAGTTTCGACATCTTTTATGTCTTTTTCTGGCAGTTCTTAAGTTGTGGGAAAACTCGTGGCAACCCCAACTGCAGTTGATCTTTACGTGCAGACTTCACGAAAATAAATATAAACTTTTCACTTCCAATTTCAATTTTACAATTTCATCTAATAGTTATGACCAAGTTACACGACTGAGGAACATGTATTGAAGTTGACTTCTCAGCACTATTGAACGCATTTATATGACCATACTCTCTGGCAAGGCTATATTATGATTTATGAATTTATTTTAGTTTCCTCTAAGAAATGGACAATGGAACCTCCCTCGAGTAATGCAATCAGTTTGAGGATGGAATTTAATTTTCTAACAGAGTTTTAGGGCAGTGCGTTGCCCGGGATTGAGTTGCTTTGTCTCCATTACTGTTACTGTTGCATGGTCAGGAACTGCAACTGGGAAACCGACGAAGTAATTCTAAATGCAAATGAATTCTGAAGAAATTTAGTTACTACAAATTTACGTATTTTTCGCTCTGACAGGCAACTGTGCAAATGAGTTTTTGGCACAGTGAGACCCTTTGCTCTTTTCTGCTCCGTTGACCAATTGAATTGGTTTAATTTGTTGCTCAGATGTTCGTGTGGCATAACTAAGCAACAATTGCATTACGTAATACAATGTAAAAGTATCTGAAGTTAAGATTAAATTCGAGCACATCCACAGATTGTCCTGACATCCTGCCGGCTAATGCCAGCCAACATAATCAAGCTACCAAATGGGAGCCCACTGCCAACACCAACAGCAACAGCAACAGCAGCTGCGGCAGCAACATCGACAGCAAGAGCAGCACAAGCAGCAGCTATAGCAGATGGCAAAAAATGAAGTGCCAATGCGTGTCCCATATGCTAGTGGAGGAGATAAAAAGGTTGCCGGGGTATGGCTGTGGGACGGATCTCGGCACTGATGAGTTCACTTCACTGAGCAAATGAAACGATATTGTTGTCAATTTAGGTGCAACAAAGAACAACAACGAACGTCAGACAGGACAAAACAAACAGCATGCACGATGGCGACAAAGAATCCTAGACCTTACTGACAGGGGGCTCTAACAGAGGGCAATCGAGGCGGTAGCCAGCAAAAAGGACTGCATGCGACATAGGACGTACACCAACAAAAGCAAACAACAACAAATTGCATGTCCTTCCGCCTTAGCTGCAACACACGACATACGCACTCATATTTACTTTACCAAGTATATGGACGAATTCGGCGTCGGGCGGAGGGTTACAGCAACACAGTTGAAATCCACCTGCAGCATTAATGAAAACCTTAAGTGACCTGATACAGATACTCTTAGCAATATTGGTTGTTTGAAGCCAACTAAAACTGCACCTGGAGCGACCAATTGACACACACACTGCAAATGTGTAAAACATTGTTATAGGAATTCTCGACATTCACAAAAGCAGTAATCATATATTTTCGGTTAAATGAACTCAAGCGCACCGACATCTTGTAAGTGTCTGGCAATCTTCTCTTACATCCATTAGCAATATTAATATTTTGTTGTTAAGCATCAGAGTGTGTACTGAAGAAGTATAAATAGAGATGGATAGAAATATAGGGGGAGATAGAGATGGAGATAGAGAGTTAGAGAGAGAAGCAGAGCAGAGAGTGAGAGAGAGGAAGAGCTGAGAGAGAAAGAGTGAGAGAGAGGCAGAGCAGAGAGAAAGAGAGAGTGAGAGAGAAAGGGAGAGAGACAGAAAGAAAGAAAGAGAAGGAGAGAGGGAGAACGGTATATAACAGAATTGTCCACGACTTAAACCACATTTGCTCCAGATTTTAATGAAGCTGGAGGGAAAAGTTAAGACTGAAATTCTGTTATTCTGTCTGTTATTTTGTCTGTTATTCTATTATTGTTATTCTGTCTGTTCTGTTATCCCTGTGTCGTCTCAGTATTCAATAGATTAATTATAAATCGAGTCAAATAAAAAATGATCTCATAAAGGGTTTTACTTTAAAGAAACTTTTCTTCAGAATTTATTGAACTTAAGTCCATAGTGAATTGAAATAAATAATTTCATTATGATATAGTGAAAGCAAATAAATTAAATAAATAAATTACGCATTACACTTAGGTTAAGTTAGACTACATTAATCTGGCTGTGCAAAAGAAGGCGACTGCCTGCCGGGTTTTTAGAGTCTGACAACCTCAACGCCCTGCGGCATGAATAGGGACTCTGCTGCCAATTTAAGCTTCTCGTTGACCAATTTGGCAATTTTGGGTGTGCGACGCCAGACAAATTCGCGGGTTCGGTCGTGATTGTCCTTGCTCTCCACCTCCACCTGCACAAAAAGGGAAATGGGAAAGTACAAAGAATTAAGGCTAATTGCTCAAAGCACAAAGCACAAAGGGTGCTTGCGGTGAGGTGACTGGCTTACCTGCTTGGGCTGCTGCACCTTGATTGACATCAGGGTGGCCCGATCATCCAGCACACTGAACTTGATGCGGCCGATCATCTCATTGGTCCTGGCCGTTGCACTTTTTACGTTTCGCACGCTGCCTCGCTTGAAGGACTTCTCGACGCGCAGAGTCAATGGGCCCAACGTAAATCTGGCCTTAATGGTCGAATTGCGAGTTTCCACATCGCTGATCACCTTCACATTGCCCACACGTTTCAGCGACGCCAGACCAGACAGACTGCCCTCAGCCTTTTGCAACTTCTCCACTTCCGTGCCCGCTTTAGTTGCCCCCACGCCCGCTGGCTGATTGTAGTTGCCGTTGCCCGCCTTCTGTGCCGCTGCAGCCGCCGTCTTCTTCGTGTTGTGTTTATGCGTCGTCTGCTGCTGTCCAGCCGTGGATTTCTTTTGGCTGGCTTTGCTCACTGCCTGCTCCCCATTGAACACGGTGCGAGTTTCCGCTTTGACAGAGCCGGATGCCACGGCCTGCTGCCTCTGTTCCTCCACCGTTCGCTGTTCGCCGGCTTTGAGGCCAAGCTCCGTCTGTAATTGCGTCAATTGCTGCTGCAATTTGACAGACTCCGTGCTGCTGGCCATGCGCGGTTCCGATCGGGTATTCTTGCTGCAAGTCAGAGAGATTGACAAATTTGCATAATTTGACTTTGACTTTGCTGTAAACATAATTGGCTGTCAGCTTTATACCCTCACTAAGGCAATGAAGTTCTTTCGTTATCAGGCTGCATCGACTTCAATTGAGATATTGAGAAGCTAGTTAATCACATTTAAGATTAGATTATTTCCCTACTTAATCCCTACAACTACATCTGATTTCAATATAAAAACTATATTCACTGATATATTCAAGTCTAATTTGAGGATAGGGTTTGTCATCTGTGTATATTCAAGTTTTGATTTTTGGCACTTACAGTTTCTTGTGCGTTGTTGCCTTATGGTTGGCATTGCCCTTGGTCTTCGTTGGGCTCTTCACTGCAGCATTGCCATACGTGGGCGTGGCTGAGCGCCCAGCCAATCGCACAACAAATGGATCGTAATTGTCAGCGACAATGCGGTTTATACGAGAGAATATGGCATCGATGAAGTGATTATGGCGCGCTTGGAATGCATCCGTCGACATGTCAATCACGTTGTTTTTCAGATCACCTGCCCCGCACCATAGAAGATGTCACGTTAATAAGCTTTTACGACACTTGCTTAAAAGTTCATTTTGTGGTTTCGTGTGTTCGCTCTGGTATGGGTGAAAATTTGTGGGTATTTCGGCCTTTGTGGTTAGCTTTGCAGTGTGTTAGTGCAGTGTGCCTCCAATTTCAGATGTGTCAACTAGCGTAGGCTCACATAGAGCCTATCAGACACACAGTGTGGCCACTGTTTACTGTGTAACTGTGCGGCTTAGCGAGTGAGCGTGTATCTGAACGAGCATGTGAGATAGGGAAACAGGGCCAATCCATTGAACCACCATACCCATAAGCTTGTGCACAAAGAAGATTTACTTCCACACAGAAATGAGAACTAAATATCAGTGGCACATACAACAAGCATTATATATAGCTATAGCTAATTATATACAGAAAAAGCAGCTTTTAGACTTTTATTATTGTCATTAGTTTGTGAGTTTCATTATGATTCGCAATTAACTTTAAACAGGCTAGAAACTTGCTCAAAGAGCGCTAAATATTTCACTAGGGAACGGCACTAGAATATTAACTCCTGAGTGACTACTCAATAATTAATTCTGTCAAATTTTGTTTAATTCAATTGGATAGTCACTCAAATTAACTACAATACGTATTGAGAGTTTATCAATATTTTCACTAAAATCCCTTGCTAAGTATTATCTTTTATCTACTGAATATATTTTCATTGAGTTTTGATTTCATCATTTTGCCTAATTCTTCTCTGACTTACTAATCGTTAAATATTTTATGCTACTTTGAGCATGTTGGGTGTTCGTTCTGTTGCTCTTTTTACACTCTTTCATTTAAGCTGTAATGCAAAAAGGTGCACTCATTTATAGAGCAACAGATTTACTACCGAAAGAGAGCCCCTACTCAGCTGAAACGTTTAAGTGCAACTTTGTCCTTTATAACTAATTAAGGCAAAGCTCTGCTTAAGGTCATTGCGCCTGCTACACGTTTGGCATATGTATTTAAAATAGATGTAATAATCCCTTTTTATAGAGCAGCCACTTCCCACAAGTAACTATATTTAAATGTGAGTGCAGTTGTGAGCGGTGTAAAAATATAATATAATGGGAGACTTTTGCCCAGCCACAAAGAGGAACGAAATTATATACATGTCAGGTGTAATGTAAACTTAATTAAATGGATGACAGGGAGTCATAGCTGAAGCTGTTAATAATGAGAGGGAAAGAGAGAGAGAGAGAGAGAGACGGATAGTAGGGATAAAGGAGATGTTACAAATACCTTGACCATTATGCAAATCGTGACGCTTGAAAGTATTATACGGACACTTTTTAAATAAAACACAAATTCGGATTTTTTAGTTTTTTCAATTGATTTGTCAAAAAATTGTACACAAATTTAATTAAAAATTTATTTAAGCAATTCTTTTGTGTTCATGTGCGTGTGCAGCTTTACTTGTTGTCTTGTTTTGTTTATGTTTTTTACAATATATAATAAATAAATAAATAAATAAATAAATAAATAATAAATTACAAATTTAATGAACCTAAAACGCAAAGCTTAACAATTTGTGCAATGAAAATGTAGATGTAAATGACGTCACTTTTCATTTTGGGAAAAATTTGGCAAATCGTGCGCTGCCTTTCAAGCGTTCAACTTTTAGCTACAATTTACAGTTGGTTTAATTTTGTGTGTTTTTTCATTCTGTTTTTGCTTTCGTTGTTTGCTTTTATTATTTTTACAATTTGCGTTATTTACGTTTACGGAAAGTTATGCGAGCCAGAAAAAAGCCAAAAAAGAAAATAGTCAGCGATTAATCTTTGATGTCAATTGTAAGCCAAATGTGTGAAAGCGTGAGTGAAAGGGTAAGTGAGCGACAGAGACAGGGATAGAGAAATACACATATAGTAGAAAAGTATGTATAGAGGACTTTCGATATGCATTATAAAGATGCATTGATAATGTCTCCGATAATTTGTTGTTGTAGTTTTTGTTGTTGATGTGAACAGTAAAATTAATAACAATGTGAAGCAAGAAAAAATTAAAATTATTATCAATAAATTACACTATGTGAACAATTATTGTTGCCGTTGTTGTTGCTCTTGTTCTCGTGGTTTACATACATAAATTTAGCTATTTGTGTGTGAGTGAGTGTGTCTGTGTTGGCGTGAGTGAGTGCGACGTGCGATGGCAACAAACATGTCCGCCAAAATGGCGGCTCGCCATTCAGCTCAGCCACATTTGCTGCATACCATCGAGCGCGCTCTTCACTTTTAACTTTTGCATTTTTTCATTGCTCATTTTGCTCTGAACATAATTTCAACAATTTGTGCTTCGGCATTAAACATTTTGTTGCTGTGCGGTTTGTTGCTGTTGTTCTTGTAGTTGCTGTGATCTTGGTGGTCATGTGAAACAGTCCGTGCGTAAATAACTTGGAAATTAAACGAAACAAGTGTGTGAAACTGTAAGGGGTGGGGGTGTTGTGGATAAATGTTGCTTGTGCGTGCAGCTTAAAAGTTTGCATTTGTATTTGCTTGATTTTTTCTGTGCTGTTCGTTGTCATTTTGCAGATAGTTTGACTAGCACCAAACTCTCAATCAACTCTTTTCGAGGATATTGTATAAATATTTCTTTACATTAATATGCAATTTTGCTTTTGTTTTTGTTTCTGTTATTTTTTAGTTTTGTTTTGTTAAACTAGAGACTTTCTTTTGCATTTTAACTAAAACTCAAAAATAAATAAATAAATAAATTAGAAATAGGTTGTTGCATTTCAGTGGTTTGTTTGATTGATTTGCAGTTTTTGGGCATGAGGGATAGTCAGTGCAAGCAAAGAATTATGCAATGTCCGAGAGATTTAAGTTTGTCCTACCCAAAAAACGGTTGGCAATGCCTTGCAACGTTATAAGTCATTTCGATGTGGTTTGATTGTCCCTGTCATTTGCAGTTCCTGTTTTGGCTGTCGTTGTTGTGTTTGTGTCGTTGTGGCAGTTGTTTGTTTGCGTTTTTAATGCTTCAGCTCTTTTTTGGACTTCTTGGCAACACTTGTTGACTTTTTGGCCTTGGCTGTTTTTGTTGCTGCTGTTGACTTGGACTCACGTGCTTCGCGTCTGGCCTCGATGACGTCATCGCCAATAATATCATCATCGTCATCGTCATCATCATCGTCGTCAGCCTCCTCGTCGTCACCTGTCAGCGCACCTGTAATTTCATCGACTCCATCATCAATATCATCATCATCATCATCATCATCATATTCATCGTCCTCGTCGTCGTCGTCTTCGTCATCAGACGCTGCACCGGCGCCATTATTAACAGCAGCAGGCGCTGCAATCGGCCCAGTTGCCACGCCCACAGCGCCCACCGCTGACTGCGCCGGAGCGGTGCTGACAACTAAGTTATTGTTATTGTTATTCTTAAGAGTGTTCGTTGTTGATGTTGTTGTGATTGTTGTGATATGCTGTTGTGATGATGGTTGATTTGCTGTTACTGTTTGATGTGTCGCATGTTGCTGTTGTTGTGGCAGTTGTTGTTGTATTTGTTGTTGTTGTATTTGTATTATGTTTTGTTTTTGTTGGTCAATTGCATTTGTGCTACTTAAACTATTTGTGCTACCACTACTACCGTCTACAAGTGCATCTTCATCGTAAAAAACATTTAGTTCACCTTCGTTGTTGCTATTGCTCGATGTCTGGGCGGGCGCTACAGCTGCAGCCACATCCTCTACAGCGTTACCAGCTGCAACAGCCTCTACAGCATTGCCGCTCTCCGCTGGCAAGTCGACGCCATCGGAAATGCCTGAGCTCAGCGAGCTGGCGGCCGCAGCGGGCGCAACTTCTTCAAGTGGCTGTGCGGGCGCAGCGGCAACAGGGGTTTGCTGCACACTGGCAGCAGGCACCACCTCATCATCGTCGTCCTCATCGTCATCATCTGTTAATGAATGGGAAATAGACTAAATTCCCCTGGCCAGCCACCTGCAACTGCTCGGTCTTACCACCCAAAATATCATCGAAGAGCCTATCCAAGTAGTCATCATCGTCGTCATCCTCTTCGTCGTCGTCGTCGCTGGCGGTGGCTGCTGGGGCAGCCTGGCCCTGGGGCGTATCGTCTTCCTCCTCATCATCGTCGTCCTCGTCGTCGTCATCATCTGTAAACCCCGAAAGCAAAATAACTGTGTTACCCAAGGAAAGGAGAGCACAAGATATTCGTTAATAACATCACACAATTATGCAGATATCGTAGTTGCGAATGGTGGTTGATCGTTGAGTGCCACTTTGTGGTTGCAATTGGAGTTGCATATGCAGTTTCTGGGCTCAGTAGTGCTGCTGGTGGTGCATGGTGCTCAGGTGCTCGGGTGCTTGCTTATAAATCTGTGTGTGTGGGTGAGTGCAAACGGTCTGTCTACCTACCATCATCGTCATCAACTAAATCGCCCAAGTCCGGCTCATCGTCGTCATCGTCTTCATCGTCGTCGTCGTCATCATCGCTGGCTGGCGCCGCAGCCGGTGCCACTTCGTTGTTGACCGCCTGCTGGCGGGACACGGCCCGTTCGCTCCTCGAATGTAGCTTCACCGGCGATGCCTCAATCTGCAGCAGCAGCGCACTTAGTACGCACAGCAAAATCACGAATTTCATTATTGGTTCGTCTCTGCAACAGATGAAAAGCAAAACGAGAAGAGTTAAATTCAGGGACCACAATATTTGCAGAGAACTTTTACTTTTGCGGTTAACCCAATTTGTTGTCGAAGTGCAACACTTTCTTTTCCATGACTTATAAATTACATATTTATCGAGCAAAGCCAACTGACTGGCCACCAAGTTGCACAGCTAGTCAATAAGACATCAAAGAAAGCAACCAAATAATTGCAGACACAACGTGCTGTGTACGTGTGTGTGTGTGTGTGTGTGTGTGTGTGTGTGTGTGTAGCTGCGTAAGTGCAAACATGTTTTTGAACTGTGCCTCAAAGTTGCCACCGGGCTGTGTCCACATGTCCACTTTGTTGGCACTTGACACACAACAACAGCAGCAGCAGCAGCAGCAGCAGCAGCAACTGAAGCTCGAACAGCTACAACAATGCTTTTTGGACAGCTGCAGGCGCCGTTTGACGCCACTGCCGTCGCCGCAGCCACCACAGTGGCAGGTAAAGACAGACAAAAGTGAGTGTATTGCAGTGGTACAGCGACTCTGTGGCTGATGTTGCAAACGTGCAAAGTCAAAGCTAATTGGCAGCACCAAGCTACCGCTTCCAAACTTCATAGATCTAGACACGTTTTCATGCTGACAGCTGGCATCTGACAGTCTCAAATGCAGGTTTTACTAATCGGATTCCACGTATCCGAAAACATTTCCGAGCGACGACAGTGCAAATTAAAGCATTGGCTTAGATGATGTAAAAAACCGAACAGTTGATATCGAAGAGAGCGTGATTGAGTTTCTTTTGCGAGATTGGGTTGCTTTTCTTTTGGTGTTTTGTATCACTTCGACGTCTGTAAGTAAAGTCGTAATGCTATTTGCAGGGTATCTTTGTTGTTTACGTGCCCATCCTCAACTTTCCATTCGCATTGGTATTGTTTTGTTGCTGTTACTGTAGCTGCGATTGCTGTTGGCTCTTTAGCCATGACAATCAGCATGGCCAACAGCCAATGGCTATAACAAACAACCGCAACAATTGCCGTTGCTCTTGTTGCTGTTGTTATTGTCGCACTGTCAAGTGCGACTGCCCCAAGTGAAAGCAACGTCGTCGTCGCTGCCATGAACAAGTTTTGTTGCGGCAGTGTTGCCGCAGCGATTTGTTGTTGTGTTGTCGCTGGCGTTTTTACTGTTGTTGGCTGCCTGCTCGGCCACTTATTGAAAAATGAGTAAAACGTTTTAAAAATCGAGTTCAGCTTAGTGCTGATAAGCAAACGTCGCTGACCATAAAGCAAAGTGAAAACCCAGTGACCTACTGCCCGGGCTGCCAGGCTAGATCAGGCCAAGCGAAGTCAAGTCTGTTGGCCAACTGCTTGGGGTATGTGGCTGTGTGTGTGGCTATGCCAGTATCTGTGGGTTTTCTTTAAGGGCTTCGCCAAGCCAAAGATAAAGATAGCCCAGATGATAAGTTCAGAGCGCAGTTTCATGGCGTCCAAATCTCTTACCATCCAACTGAGGCTGAAGACGCATCGTCACAACGCTCCGCTTAATTAAAACTTTTACGACGCCGCGTTTTCTTGAGCAGCGTTTATTAAAATCTGAAGCCCCTGGCAGTGCAATGGCAGCGACACAGCAGCGAAAAGGAAGCGACGTTTTGGGCGTGGCACTTGAGCGGAGATGACATATCACCTTCTCCTAGACCACGCCTCGCACATCTATCAGCTGCGGCTGCTAGGCAACGACAACCAATCAATGGAATGTGGAAACCAAATGAACTTGAGCAGCAAAAAAGGGAATAATGTTGCTATACAGGTATCTTCTATATTGCATCTATTTATTTGGGGCTGAGTAACTGAAATTAAGGGCAACAAATAAGATTCAACTGAAGTTGTTTCTACTCCAGACTTAGCACTCATACACAAAATATTCAGCACTATAATTATTTCGTGCACAAGGAATGTTGAAGAGTTTTATCATTATTTTCCCATTGTACTTGTTGACGTTTTCGCAACTACCTTCTACGGCATCTTCAGTTGGGTACTTATAAACTCAGGTTATTGAAGTCTACGAAATAGCGTTTACTTTGCCCGTGCATACGTTTTGTCTCGTGGCCCGCTTCTCTCGTGCTTCTTGAGCTGCTCAATGTTCTTCCATTTTCTCACCTAACTCCAAACATTTTACGCATCATGCTATAAAAGCAACAACAACAGCAGCAATGCAATGGGAAAACTTTTGACAAGCACACGAGTGCGTGGCAGCTTCTCCAGCGCCCGCCCTGCTTCCCGCTTCGCTCGTCTTGCTCACCAATGGGAATGGCAACCGGTTGGCGTTGCTCTCTATTGTAGGCACTAACTCATATGGAACGCTGCTCCCACTATATTTTAATGTTCCATAGAAAAATGAAGCTAACCGTGTGTGCATTTTACATTAATATTCATGCAAGTGGGAGTGCGGCATGTGGAGGACTGAATGGGGTGGGGGAAGCGCAACGAGTGTGTTTGCTGTGCACTTGCATGACAGCCAGCAAAATTACTTAAGTCTCACACAGATACACACACTCGTTCACAATGGGCATTATTGTGCCCGATGGCAGTCCACCCTCCCGTAGCTATGCTCCTGCTCCTGCTCCGTTCAATCTACGTATGCATTGTCATATCAGCGTCATATCAATAAATATGTTCGCCGCACAAAAGGCTACGCGTTGATGGCCACAAAAGTGCCTCAGGATTTGCATATCAGACTGCTACCATCGCTATTCAAGAGCTGTCGACTCTTTGTTTAAACTTGCCTCATATGTTGGTTGGGCTGGGCGAGCTTGTCTTGCCGGCTGCTGCTGGTGCGGTTAATTTTCCAAGACAATGGCTGAAGAAGCAAAGTAGAAAAATAATCTTTACACGTGCCGCTTGAACTGCCTCGCCCCATGCTGCAGCACCTGCAGCCGCAGCACTTAGACAAGATTCCGTCTCCCTCTCTCTCTCTCTATCACACACTCCCACATACCCTCACACACACAGGCACACACATTCAACAATCTTTTACATCTATCCCGCTCACTTTCTGCATGCACATCGCATGAATTAGGAGCTGGTACCGTCGCATCAGCGCCACCTGGCGGAACAACAATGCACATGCTGCATGACTGCCAGGTTCCTTCACCAAGTAATGGACACGATCTACCCAAAGCTTTTCTACATGCATACCCTTTACTTTGAGCAGGAGTGTTGATGCCAAACATTTTAGCTATTCTTTGCCTTATGGTCTTATGGTCTCAATCGAAGCTTTTAATTTTCCTTCTGATCTTCGATATGTTAATTATAGTTTTATAGAAAACTGATTACAAAGTCATGTTTTTAAGCAATAAGAAAATGCTATTTAAATTAATATTCGACTTATTTCACGATTATCAGAGTACAAGGTATTTTACAGTCATTAACCACGATACCTTTTTAATAGTTTCATGCGAGTTAAACCATTTGAAAAGAAGCGTAAACTTTTTATACTTTTTGTCATAAACGAAAAAAAAGTGGACAAATTTTCGGGCATGTGGTTCACTCAAATTTCTTTGCAGAGCCACAATGTCCGTGTCGAATATTTCTCTCTTAATAGCTTCTACTTGTCTTAAGTGCATCGGTGCTGCTGGTGGTGGTGGTGCTGCTGCTGCTGATACTGATGTGACTCTTTGGTACAACACTTGAGAATGTTTTGTTTTGGCAGCAAAGTGCAGAAGCTGTGTAAACTAACGTGAACTATAACTGCGATGCCAGGAAACACTTAAATTAGCCACTGTCTGGTATGTGGGTCAGTTTGCAAGAAGAAACCTGAGAGAAGGCATGAGAGATTACTCAACAAGGCGACTGCTCCTACTGTTGCTGCTGTTGTTGTTGCTGCTGCTACTGGTGCTGCTGCTGCTGACCACAGAGCACACATGAAATGGAGCAGAGCTGGGCTGTATGGCGTGTATGTGGGGCAGAGCACATAAAAAAACCGGGGATGGCTCTAAATTGCTGCGCTGATACAATTTATGGCCCCAGCCAGTTAAGAGCCTGTGTCCGAGTTTCAGTCGGTTTCGGGTTTTTGTAAGCTCTCGAAAATCAATTAAAAGTTCTGGCCCAAGACGTTGCCGGAGCTCCTTCTATTTCTCGTTTGCGAACTGTTTTATGGGTCAGCAGCAATGCGTTTGGATGGTGTAATCGCTTTGCATGCCAATTGCTTGCTCTTATCATTCAAGAATAACACACACACGATACGATACGAGGTAACGATAGTCCTCAGGCTTAAACACTGTTAATCCAATGCTAACCTTGAGCTGCCCTTGGTTATGATAATGTTGATCGATTATTTGAGTGATGTTGTTCAGCTTTAGTTTCGTCACACACCATAAATTTTTGAAATGTTTGTTTAGTTTTGCAGGTCGTGTTACGAAAACCGATTTGTGTTTGAGTGTAAGTAACCGTTGCTCACTCCTCGAGTACCCGTCCAAGACTGTCGCTGTTTGAGCTTCTTTCGTATGGTTTTTAGCCCCATGCGATTCTGAACTGACTTTCTTTTTTCAACGTTTGCTTTTACCTGTTTCTCGCTGGGGGAGTTTTTGGTTTGTGATTGTGATTGTTGTTGCTTATTTAGTGTTGTTGTCGAGCTTCGATGTTGGCAATTTTCACACCGCCGCGCACACAACTGTCTCGCACGACTGACCGTCTGCAACTGATCGAGGCTGGAATCTTCAGTTACCAGCATAGTTGTAGACGACACGGTGAACACAGTGAACAGTTGCCCAACAATTTGTTTGCATTGCTTTCTTTGCGCTCTCTTTTGATAGCATTCCTCTCTCGCACGCTAACTCTCTCCCTCTCTCTCTCTCTCTATCTTTATCTTTAGATTACTTCTGCTATCTCGTTTTACTGGCCAACTAGATTTTCAATCAATTTTGGACATGCGCTCGTCGGCGTTCCTATGGGAAAGTATTTGGCACAGTAAACAACTCGTTATTACAGTTAGCAACCAAACAGGCTGCTGGCGCACTTACCTCAAAGAGCTATCAGTTAAGATGGACTGGAGTATTTTTGGCAGTTCTTAAAGATTTTTTCATACTCTTTTAGCCAAGGTAAAAATGGCATGACATAATATTTAAATGTATTCGGTGCCAATTTCGTATATTCGACTTTCTGTCCGTATTTTGTCACTATCAATTAACATTTGAATGCATCTTTCTTCTTTTCATTCTCGCTGACACTCCCGTGGCCTATTTCAGACATTCCTGCGAGCCCACTCTCTTAACTTGTACTTTGTAAATGAGAATGTTCGTGTATATAGTATTTGGCTATGTGCGACTTTTATTGATGAGCTTATTCGCGTTCGGTCAATAGGAAGTGCTAATTTCTGGGGTCTGCTGGCGAGCACAGGTACATTAAAGTGAAATCGTCAGCCATTGAGCAGTTGACTCTGATATTAGCCAAAAAAAAGAATTAAAAAACGTTCAGTAAAGTGTTACTCATAGCTTTGACAGCTTGTAATGTAATTAATTTAACTTGCATTTCATTTTCAATGTCCGGGACAGAGTGGAAAATGGACAGTCAGCGGGGAGGGGCGTGTAAAGGGTTCAAAGCAAAGCTTTCCCACACACACACGCACACATAGACGCTCTCACTAATATACGACAAAAGCGTCGCTGGCTGCGCAGTCGACGCGTACAACAGTAAAACGTGTTCTACTCGTTTATAGCGGTCTATTGCTGGAGTAGTTGTTGTAGTTGTAGTTTTTCTAGTTGGGCAAAAGTTGTTTTTACTGTAGAAGAGAGCTTGGGCTGTCTATAACTTTCTTCGCAACTTGTTGTCGTTGCTGTTGCTGTTGTTGTTTTGTCGCTGCTGTTATTGAGACAGCAGGCCAAGTATGTAAGCCTTTGCGATGCATTTCAGTTAACAGGTCAGTGGAGTTTTCTCAACTTAAAAACTTAACTCGACTTGCAGACGTTTTCAGTCTTTTGCCGCAGAATGTTACGAAATTTTATGTAATGCGCCGAAAAAAACAACAGAAAACACAAAAAAACTTAATTTTTTATATATGTATATATATATATATATATATACAAGAGAGCTTAGACTAACATCAACAACTGGCAAAAACTTTTGTTCAAGGCTACATATTTTCGCTTGGCTAAATTTTGACTATTCTAAAATGACTGGTGACTGGTGCATTAGTTCAAACCCCAAATAGCTTACCCTTTTGGTGGCTTAATATACTTTGACATTTTTGTTACCAACACCAGTCAGGTGGCAAAACCGACAAAGAGAAAAAAAAATTAAACGTAACGCCCGACTGCTGTGCGAAATGAGGCGAAGCTGTTGCCCAACTAAAGACCACCCAAGATCAAACTTAGTTGCACCTAATCAAAAAGTAATTTGCTATTTGGTGGCTTTGTTAACATTTTCATAAGCAAATCAACGGGGCGTACCAAGAAAGCTCGGGGTCCTCGCGGCTCCAACTCAGAGACGTTGCTCCATTTGACTAATTAATTTTCTCAACTTTCTTGCAAACAGAAAATGATGAAAATGCGGGTATCTGCGGCTGATTAGTTTTCGCAGCTAGCAAAAAAGTTTTTTCGGCTTACATGTTAATTTTCTAGTTTGCTTTTGGTTTTGTTCATTTCTCATTTGTCAAGAACTTATGGAAAATCCACTCAAGTTCATTTTATTGCGTAGGTCTGAGTAATCAAAAATTTGTTATTTTTGCATGCAGAAGGAACACAAAATTTAGAAATAAAGCTTTAAATTGGGCCAGCATAACCAGTTCCTATAGAGTGTATACAATGCTTGTAATATGCTCCTTCTCTAATAGAGTCTATCCCCAACAATTAATTGAGTTAAATGAACAGATCTCAGTTCAATATTACAATAATGTCATGCATTAAAAACGCCATGAAAATGAATTTGATATTTATCTTGATACATATGTGAATACCCTTTGACCATTCATAACGGACATATGTAAGTTATGCAAATAAATTGCAAATGTGTTCGTCTCAGAGTTTCAAAGAGATTCCAGAAGCCATAACTTTCTAGTTTGAAGCATGCAACTACAATAGAATGTGACAATTCACAACAGTAAGACCATCGACTACTTTCAATATAATTTAATATATTAGGCGTGTTGGGTGTGTGCATATATTATATGAAGTCAGGGAAGTTCAGTGCTGAGCACAAGGTATCTTTTGTTCGATCAGTTTTAATTGAAGAACTCAAAAGTGTTTTAATTATTCATATTGAATGGAACTAATGTCTTTTTCCACTTGCCAATAATATAGTTATATTAATATTTAACGCCAATGGTCTCTTGGTCAATGTGAATTATCGATTTCACTGGGCAATTAATTTTAGCCAGGTCAAATTATTTATATCATTCTGACACTTCATTCGCATAGGGCTGGCCAATATTAGTTTGAGTGCCAGGGCATTGCAAACTTAATTGGCAGTTCCTGTGAAAAGGCGTTTAGCGCTGGCGATATTCGTGTCTGCTGCGCTTAAGCAATTCAATTTGCTGACTCTCTTTTCCGCCTTCGTTAGCGAGCAGTCACACAATATTGACGTTGACAATTAAATGCTAGAAATTATTTGATTACCATCCGTTTTTCTAACCAAACCAGCTCAACGTCTCGAAAAAGTTTCGCTTTTCTTTTGGCTTCGAACAGCCCACAAAAAGTGAAATAAAAATACCTTAGTAAGTTTTATCTCTCTGCACGTGTGTTGCTACTGTTGCTGTTGTTTTCGTTATTGTTGTCGTTGCTGTTGTAGCTTTAGGTGAGATTATGCATGAAAGCGACGCTTTGTGCTCGGAATAATTAGCAGGGCGTGTGAGGGGGGTCCTCACAATTGTCAGCTAAGTAAGAGGCTACCTGCCATCCAGTGCGTGTGGCTGCCAACTAATCGATTTTCAAAGTGGTTTTTAGATAGCGACTATTTGTTGGTGCCTGATTATATTCGAAATGCGTGCTAACAATTTCATTTGTTGAAAATTCAAATATGCGGTGGCAAGCCAGGCCGCAGAAACTGTCGACGCGGATTTGTATTGGGATTTGGAACTGGGTTTGAGTTTGAGTTTGAATTTGAGTTTGAACTTGTTGTTGGTGTTGAATTTCATTTGCACATTATATTCAATTTTTCAGGCTGTGCATTGCCACTGACTGAACTCAAGAGGTGGTTGTTGCTGTTTTTTGATGAATTCATTCACGTACAATCCCCAACGATAACGACCACGGCAACGGCAGCGGTAACAGCAACAACAACAGCAACAGCAACAGCTACGACATCGGACGGCAATTCTGTTGACCGTTAAGCCAGCTCCAAGTGCCAAGCTTCAAGTTTCAAGCTATAAGTTCCAAGTACCTTCCTGTACTCTTGTGCTGCTCATTTCGCATTCAATGAGCGGCGCATCCATCGAACGAAAGCCGAGTCGAGCCAAGCAATTTCAATACGCACCGGCGAAAAATAATATAGAAAAAAAAATGGTAAATGAAAGTGCCCTCAAAATGTTTTCTAAATTTGTGCGCTTGGCCCGAAGTCTTTTGGGTTGGGCAACGGCTACTTGACCATGCCCATCTCTATATCTATATCTGTCTGATTTAATTGTGTCGCATTGCAATGAATATGCAGAGAGAACTTAAGCTCTGAGCCGAAAACTTGTCTTTCGTCTTTCAATTAGCGAAAGTCTGCCACGAGAAGCCTTCCACTGATATGCATATTCATCGTTCTACAAAAAGAAAAAGTTGTCAGCGACGTCATTTAATTGATGTCCATTTTTAATTTCGTCGCATCTTATGGCTGGGCCAATAACCAATAAGAAACATAAAAAAACATAATCAACCAAAAAACACCGAATAAAGCCTATCGAACAAAAAAAAAAAAAAAAAACAAAAACAAAGAGACGCCGGCCAGGTGGAAGTGGACGCCTCACGAGCTACTCTCGAACAGGAAGGGAAAGCTATAGACGAACGTGTCACTTTGTAAGCAGAAGAGAATGTGTGTTTGTGTGTGTGTGTGTCTTTGTAACTGAGTTTATGTGGGGCTTGCTTCGCAGCTTCAAAAAAAGCAAAAGTCTGATGTGGTCTCTACATGAGCATTACGGCAAGAAATTGACATTCTTTGCCTCCTCACTCACAAGAGCACAGAGCAGGCAATTCAAATAAGTAAATACAACAAAAACAACAACTTAAATACCAAAAACTGGCTAGAGGCACTTTCTCTTTCTTTCACTGCCGATAACGGCAACAACAGCAACAGCAACAACAACAACAACGACGCCGACAACAGGTAACAACAACCAAAAGGGAAGCAGAAAATCAACGACTGGCATCCACAACAAATAAAAATAAATAGACCAATTGCTCTTATTACAATTGTTGTTGCTATTCTTGTCGTTGTTGCCCTTAGGCAATTTATAATTTAAGCATACATACACCCACACACACAAACACATTTATATATACATAACCACTCATACATATATTTATTAGATTCGGGAAAGAAACTCGCTTGAAGTCTTTTTGGTAATTGACACTCTGAAGGCAATGAAATGGGCGCCAGAGGCCGCGTGGGCGTCACAGCTGACTGCTGTGGGCGTGACTACAGCATTAACAAAATGCCATTT